TCTTTGCCTTTCCCCAGCCCCGCTAATATACGGCAATTCTACTCCTAGATATATGCCCAAGAGAACTGAAAACACACATTCATGGAAATCTGAATGTCAAAGTTCATGGCGCTGTTATTTACAATAGCCCCAAAGTGGAAACATTCCAGATGTCCATCAACTGATGACGAACAAGTATGATGTGCTCTATCCATACAATCGATTATTATTGAGCCATGAAAAAGAATGAGGCCCTGAAAGAGGGTTCCACATGGACAGCTAAACCCTGAAAGCTTTGTACTAAGTAAAAGAAGCCTGTCACCAGAGATTACATATTGCATGATTCCATTTGAATGAAATGTCCAGAACAGACAAATCCATAGAGAAGGAAAGTGGCTTAGTGGTTGCCAGGAGCTGGAGGAAGCAGGCACGGGAACGGATTCCTAACAGGTATGGGATTACTTTTGAGGCAAATGCAACATTTTGGAATCAGATCACAGTGATGCCTGCTCAACTTCACAAATATACTAAGAAGGGCTGGGGATTTAGCTCAGCAGCACAGTGCCTGCCTGGCAAGCATGAGGTACCAAGTTCCATTCCTGGTACCAAAAAAAAGCAGAACAAATATACTAAGAAAGGAAATCACTGAATGCACTTTAAATGGGGAGCTGCATAATCTGTGAATTAAATTACAATTTAAAAGCAGCCAAGAGTCTGGGAATATAGGTCCATGGTAGACCATTTGCCCAACATGTGTGAGTCCTTTGGGTTCAGTCCCCAGTAACACACACACTTTCACTCACAAACACATCAAGTAAAGATTAGAACCTACATGGTGGAGACGCCAGCTCCACATGTGTGGGAGCAGTGGAGGGTTAAAGCAGGAGGGGGCCCCTGCACAAGGCAGGGACAATTGCCCGGTACAGGTTAAGGCTCAGACACGGCAGCTACATAACAGATCACATCAGCACGGACCCTGGTTTTCTGCCTAAAATACCAGGATGGGGAATGAGACTGGACAGGAGAGGCTGGTGCTACGATTCTTGAGCAGCAGCCCAGCTGGGCCACAGTGCCACCACAGAGCTCCACAAGGGCACGCCGCCTCCCTTCCCCCTTGCCAAGAGCTGTCTCCATGGCAACCACACAGCTCAGGCCAGGGACTCCCGTTCCCCGTCTGGTGACAGCATCACCTCAGCAACCTGTCAGGAAAGCACAGGCAGATCTGGATGATAGGACTGCAGCTCCGGCAGAAGAACTGCTGAAAGACCCTTGTCTCCAAGGAAACCACGTCAGGAAGGAGAGGGAGGAGGAGAGGACAAACAGCAAATAAACACGGGGTCTAGTCGCCTGCATACAATTCCAGAACGGCCCGGGTACATCAGAAGGGTTAGAGCAGACATCTGAGGGAGTGAACCAGGGTTTCTTCAACATTTACTCAGCACCAGGCTCCACACAAGGCTCTTTACAGATAATATTTTAAATTCCAATGCCAAGTACATTTCCTTCCTTCCTTCTCATTTTCTTTTTCTTTTCTTCTTTTTCTTTCGAGACAAGGGTCTTATCATGTAGTCCAGACTGGCCTTGAACTTGCTTATGTAGCCCAGGCTGACCTCGAACTCATGCTGCTCCTGCTGCCTCAGCCTCCTGAGTGGTGGGATTACAGGTGTACACCACCACATCTAGCCTTCCTTCCTTTTTAGTACTGGGAAGTGAACCCAGGGCCTTCGCACTGAGCTACATCCCCTCCCAACCCCCTTTTATTTTAAGACAGGGTCTCACTAAGTCACAAAATTGCCCATCCTGAATTTGAACTTTCAATCCTCCTGCCTCAACCTCCCAGAGTGCTGGGATTACAGGCATGTACCACTATGCTCATCTTTTCTGTTTTTGATATGAAATTTATGTTGCCCAAGCTGGTATTGAGTTCTGGGCTCAAGGAATTCTTTTGTCTCAGCCTTCCCAGTAGCTGGGATTGGAGGCATATTGTGCCTGCCCTAAGTATATTTTTATTATTAAAAAAAACTCCTAACTTGGGCTGGGGGTGTACCTCCATGACTGAGCATGCCCGAAGACCCTAGGTTCAATTCCTAGCACCATAGAAAGTAAAAAACAGAAACAATGGAGTAAAAAGCAGAAGTCACCAGGTGTGGTGGTGCATGTCTGTAATCTCAGCACTCGAGAAGCTGAGGCAGGAGGATTACTGAGTACAAGGCCAGCTGAACTACATAGCAAGGTCCTATCTCCCGCTCCTCCCCCAAAAAAGTCATTCTCTCTTCTACTCCACCAATTTTAATTCCTCAGACCAGTAGGTCTTCCTCCAGATGTCTGTGCATTCACACACAGACATGCATGCTTCAAAACCACTCTGCGTGTACGGCTTTTCAAAATAACTAGCGTAAATGTGTACATTCTATAATAATAATATCAATAAACAACGAAGCTTGAAAAAAAAAAAAAACAAAATAACTAGCGTAATAATAACATAGTACATATAGTTCTGTAACTTCCTTCTCCTCTTAATACTTGGGTCTCTTTCTACATCAGAACATAAATATTTTCTTTTTTGACATGGTAAAGAAAATACAGTGCAACATAAAATTTTTTGTTGCAGCCATTTTTTCTTTTAGTAAGATATATATTACATGAAATTTACCATTTTTAACCTTTGTTGTTTTTAGTGCTGGAGATTGAACCCAGGGTCTTGTACATGCGAAGTACATACTCTACTACTGAGCAGCACCCCCAGATGTAAGCATTTTTAAGTATACAGCTTAGTGGCCGTAAGTACACTCACAATTTGCAGTCATAACCACTATCTGGCTCCAAAAACTTTTCCTAACTCCAAACTGAAAGGAAGTCTATCCTTATTAAACAATTCTTCACTCCCTCCTCCCCCCACAGCCCTGGCAGTCTCTATTTTATGTCTCTACAAATTTAACCACTCTCCTTACCTCCTATAGGTGGAATCACACAGCATTTGTCTCGCTTATTTCACTTAGCCTAACGTTTTCAAACCTTATCCTTACTTCATTCATTCTTCGGGGTGATGGGTAATCCACTCTACATAAATACCACACTCTGCTTATCTTTCATCTGCTGATGGACATTTGGGGTGCATCTATCTTTTGGCATTGTGAATAATGCTACTATAGATATGGGGGTACAACTGTCTCTTCAAGTCTCTGCTTTCAATTTGAGGGACATACCCAGAATTAGAACTCTGGGTTTAATTTTATGGTTAATTCTATGTTTAATTTTTTGAGGCACGGCCACACTACCTTATTCTTTTTAACATTTTCATAGTAGTCTATGATTATGCAAACTTATCTTTTTGTGTTCAGGAGACTGAATCTAGGGACTAAGTACATGCTCTAGTTGGGCAAGTACAGTCCCCAATAGTCAGAAGGCTGAGGCAGGAGGATCATGTGAGTCCTGGAGTTCAAGGCCACCTGATATCAAGACACTGGCAAAAACAAAATGAAACAAAAACTGAAAGCTTCATAAGCAAGCTCTGTACCACTGCGCTATACCCCAGCCTCTGATTACTCAACCTTAGGAAAGATCCAAACAACCTCCTAAGTTGGGTACTGTTATTATCCTGGCATCAGGAAAGAAGAACAACTTGGAGAGGAGAAGCAGCTTCAGGGTTGCAGCCGCTTCTGCACTAAGGAAAGGCTGTGTAAATTCAGGGAGTTGCTCCTCTCTGGGCCTCAGTTTTCCCACCTCTACCGGAGGAACAGGGCTGGGGATATAGCTCAGCAGGCACAAGTGCCTGCCTGGCAAGTGCAAGGCCCTGAGTTCAATTCCCAGTACCAAAAAGAAAAAAAACAAAAAAACCCAAAGAAATTATTATAAGAAAAAAAAAAGAGAAACAGGCTGAACTCTAAGAGACTTCCTGAAACTGTCTCCCAGGAAGAAGAGTTGAAGGGAGGGGAGCAGAACAGGAGAAAAAGAATTAAGATATATTATATACAAGTACCAAATTTCCTATGATGAATGTGATCAATATGTTTGACAAATATGTACTAATAAAAAAATAAAATAAAAATAAAACAGTCTCCCCTTTCTGTTGTTTTTGTTTGTTTGTTTTTTTTTGGTACTGGGAATCAAACTTGGGACCTTGTGTTTGTCAGGCAGGCGCTTGTGCCACTGAGCTATATCCCCAGCCCATGTCTCCCCTTTTCAAAGGGTGGCAGCAACAGGACAGTTTGCAGCAGGGCAGCAGGCTGGCATGTCACCCCAACACACCCAGCGGGAAGGGCAGTTGAGGGCCCACTCTGTGCTCGGAGCTGGGGCATCCTTGTCTTGGGCTGCTGCCGTATGTGCCCTCTGGGCAAACCCACCATGCTGACTGTGCCTCAGAAGAATGTACAAGTCTAAGATACCTCCTAAGCAGCCAATCAGCCAAGGCCGAGCTGTGCCTCCGGGGCCAGAGAACCCCCAGCCGTCGGGAATGCAGACCCTGGGCGCAGGAGGGTTCAGCCTGTAAGGGGCACGCTGGGTGTAAGGATAAGCCTCCCTCTCTCAGGAGCAGATGGAGATGAACTAGCGAGTGCGGTGCCCAGCACACAGTAGGAGGAGAGGGCGTGCCAGGAGGAGGGTCGGGTATGAGTGAGGATGGTGCCTGGGGTCACATTCAGGAAGCATCTGGTACCCAGAAACATGCCGGAGGCCCAGGCCCAGCACTCATCTCCCAGCCAGTGTCAGTGCCTGGCAGCTCCTAGGGCTTCTCCACACTGTCCTACTTGGCTTTCACGATGACCATTCACGGGTTAGGAACCTGAGGCACAGAGGGAAGAGCCCCCTGTGCTGGGCATTGTCGCACTGCTCTCAGCAAATCCTCCAGAGGCTGAGGTTCTCTGATGGGCGACTCTCTCATTTTGCTCCTCAAGGACAGGACTAGGTGCATCTGGTTCACTGCTGGGTCCTTACTGTCCAGCACGGGGTACACAGTAGGTGCTCAGGAAGTGTGTGCTGGAAGAAGGAAGGGAGGAAGAGCCCGCAGGCAGACACGCACTCACCTCTCTCGGCCGTTCTAGCTCCGTCTGCAGCACCTGCTTGGCCAGCTCGGTCTCGATGAGCCGCTGCCGAAGCTCCTCGTTTTCCTCCTCCAGCCGCGCCCGCTTCTTCTCCACCACCTCGAGCTCCTTGTGCAGCCGCATGGAGATGTCCTTGGAGACCTGGGCCGGGGTTGGGGGGAGGAGGGTGTGAGCAGGCTATCGGGGAGCCAGCTCAGGTGACAGCCCCACACGGCAAGTCCCACTGACTGTAAGTCCCACTGACTGTCCCTGCAGAGGAACCGGATGCAGGCAGGCTCCCAGCTCACCACCCCCACTTAGCAGATGAGGAAACTGAGGCACAGTGGGATCCCAAAACTCACCAAGGGTCATGCATCCAGGAGGCGGCATACCTAAAACCCAAACCTAGCACTGCATGCTCCCCAAAGCTATAACGGTCCTGTCTGTTCTTAGGAACAGCTGTTCGTTTGCTTGGGGCTTTGAATGCTTCCCAGGACCTGGCCCAGCCACCTCCGGGCCCACCCTCACAAGGGCCTATCGTGGGGCCAGAGCTCATCTTCAGGGAGGGTGTGAGCTGAGGAAGCCCAGACAGAGCAAGATGGGCAGCACGTGATCCTGGGCAAGTGATTTCTCAGCTCCCGGCCTCCAGTGCCCTCAGCTGTAGAATGGGTACAGCAGTAACAGGACCAACACGAGAGTCAAATCAGCGGGTGCACATGACGCCTCGGCTTGGTGCCGCCACAGCGAGTGCCAGGAGAGCAGAGGCTGCTGCTCTGACAGCTGATGTCCAGAGAGGGGCATGACTTTCTGGAGGTCACAGTGACCCTGAGGCCTGTTTCCAACTGTCTGGGATGTAGAACACGCCCGAAATGACAAAAGCTGGGCAGGAGTCCAAGTCGTCCCCACTGAGGGAGCTCACAGAGCTGCGGTCCCAGTCCTAGCTCCAGGCCTCTGCAGCAAAAGCACCCCAATTCCAGAAAGATGCCCTCTTTCCTGTCCCCTGCTGTCTGGGTGTGATAGGCCAGGGAGGGAGGGGATCAAGGGGGACACGAAAGGCTCCTGTGAGTTGTAGAACTGCAACCAGTCTTCACTGCTAGCCAGGCTGGGTGCTGCCACTCATTAGATACCTACTGCGTGCCTGACTTGCTCATCTCCACGCTAACCCTGTCCCGTTCTACTGACAGGGCACCTGAGGGTCTGGGGAGAAGTGACTTGTTCATCAGGGGCACACACAGCGAGTGAGGGCTGAGTGCTTAGGAGTCTGGCTGAGGAGGCAGCACAACGGGCTCCTCCAGGGACATGAAGGCTTGGGCAACAGGACCCATGTGTGGGGCACACAGCCCAGCACCCTACGCCTGCCAGTATCGGAAATGACCGTGGGACCTCCTCCGTGCCAGAAGGGAAGAGGGCCCTCCACGGCTCTGCCCTCTGCCTGGGCCCAAACCCAGCACAGCACAGACCGCTTGGCAGTGTGCGAGACAGGCCAGGAAAAATAACAGCCAGAAAGGAAACCGGCCACTGCCCCCACCAGCCCCCTACTGCCCAGGGCCCTGAAGATCACCTTGTGCTTCTGGCCCACGAGCTCCTCCACCGCATCTCTGGGTCACCAAACCTTCCTCACCCATAAAGTGGGGGAAGCGATCCCTCAGTGTCAGAATAGGACTTTGCAAGGGGAAAACTAGATTCAAGGCTGCATGCAGTAATGACAGGCTGTGTGACCCAGGACAAAGGTTTAACATCTGAAGTCAGTCTGGGCAGTGGCAAAAGGAGCCGGATAGAGTATACTCATGAGGGCTGCTGTGAGGATAATGCTTGGGTGGGTAGCTGGAACTTGAATGCACTCCAGAAATACAAGAGTGTTTTTGTTTTATTTTTTAACAATTAATGCTAGCTATTCAATGAACTACAAAAGTTGAGTTTATTCCAGTTTCATGAACTTGGCTGACCCATTTTTTATTATGTGAAACACTTAAGAACTATGCAGAGTTGCTTAAAGGCCACAAGTTCAAGGTGGCATGAATACAAGGATTTTTAATGCACTGTCAAGATTACTGCTTTGGCTGGGTGCAGTGGTGGATGCCTGTAATCCCAACTACTCAAGAGGCTGAGGCAGGAGGATCATGCGCTCAAGGCCAGGTTTGGGCAACGCAGTAAGATCCCACCTTAAAAAAATTACTAATTCATCCTGCGAAACTATTTTGTAGATAATAATATGTAAAACGATAACCATTGATAATTTCCTACCATTTTGTCTGTAATTTGCTAAGTCCCCCCTATTATTATGTTATCCTTCTTTTATTCTTTAAAAAAAAAAAAATTACTAATTCAGCTGTGTGTGTTCATTTTATCCACCTTACCCCAACTCTAGGACTTCTGCTGGACATGTTCACCCCTACGCTTCCAGCTATAATGCCCAGCTCAGGGCCATTAGGTCTCCCAGGAAGCCTCTGTCTTGATCACCATGTCATTCACTCATTCATCTTGGCTCCAGGGGCAGGAATGATGGGGTGGAGGTCAAGGCTCCAAAGCACGCATGGAGACACCCATTCATATCTGTGTTCCAGTAAGTGCACACTGCATGAACAAACAAATCCCAGGCTCCAACAGATGAAAAGTGAGGGAGAAGGAACGAGTGACTGAATATAGAAGGGGAGCAGCACCTGCCCTCCCACTGTCCTCTCCCAAACCTGCTCTTCCTGCCCGGGGTCTGCGCCCCGCTCCACCACTATCTCCACTTGGAGAGGCACCAGGCCCCCAGCGGAAATAATGATCCAAGTAAATTCCTGGGTCTTCTTCCTTTGTGCCCCTTTTCATAGAATTGTGTCACCATGGGCTCCACATCCCCAGGGCTATGAAGTCAAGAAAGGCTGCCCAGGCAGCTCGCAGAATTCCAAGTGGACAACAGAGCCCACGGTACGGAGCCCTACAATGTCGTGTCCCCCGGGGAGGCCGAGGCGAGCAAAGAGCACACTGCTGCCAAGCTGGGGAGCACGAGGCGGCAGCCTGGGCTCGTTCCTTCCCCTCCCCAGTCCTCAGTGGCCCTGGATCCTGAACCTTCGCAGGTGATTTACAGAACTGGCTAGCATTTCCCCATGTGCTTATCACACACTCTTCATCCTCCCCCACCACCCCAAGCGCTTTGATTACTATCTCCATTCTGAGGCTCGGAAAGGAAAGGTCATTTGCCCAAGGTCACACAGTTAGGAAGCTACCGAACCAACATTTAAAATCATCTCTGAAGTCTTGCCCTCAACCTGAACCTGCTCTAGGAACAAAGCTTGAAGACGTATCAAATTACTATAAAAATTCTAATAAGCCCTGACAGTGGGCTTACTATGTCAGGTGCTTGCAGGGCCCCACAACTTTGTCTCATTGGATCCTCTCAGCTACCCCCAAAGTAGCAGGACTGAGGTACCAAGGGAGGGCAGGCAGCTGCAGCTTCCGGAAATCAGGGCAAATCCCCAAAGCACAAACAAATGCGCTCAACCATGAGGTCACTGTTTACAGTGCCCGGTCCAGCTCCTGCCAAACACTAGCAACAGCCTCCGGTCCCCAGCTGCCCAGCACGCTGGCTCCTGGTGCTCAGGCTTCAGGATGTACCCCCACTCGGATCCACAGCACTCTGGGCTGTGTCACTGCATTCTCCCATCAACCCCAGGAAGGTGGGAGTGTCACCCCATTGCATAGATGAGGAAACACTGAGCTGCGAAGAAGAGGCGGGCAGCCTGCACAGGTCACCCAGGAATTCACCCCAAAGCTGGAACATTTTCCCCAGCAACACTGGTGTCTTAGGATGGGAACATGTTACTGATACCGGACCTCCCCAACCTAGGCCATCAAATCCTTGCAGGCAACGCCAGGGAAGTCAGCATTCTGAGGACTAAAAGGCCCTAGGACACCCTGATACTGGGAGAAGGGTGGTGGCCAGAGGTGGCCAGTTCAGGGGGAGGCTGGAGGATGAGCTCAGCGCTGCAGCTGCAGGGTGGGCAGAGGGAGGCGGGGAGGGCGCAAGGCTGATGCTGATTGGCTAGTTCAAATCTCAACAGAAGGGGCCGCCCCTTCGCCCGACTCCTGAGAACCACCCCCCTTACACACACACACACACCCCTCACCAGCTGCTCTCACCCCACCCCCCAGGCAGGCTGGGCCGGCCCCAGCCAGGGCCCCAGGCTGTCTGTCCTCCACCATCCTTCTCTATCTCTCTTCAGTCTGATTTTTTGTGACCTCCTCAGTCACCCAGGCCCAAAAGGAGATTTCCACGCTTTGTCTGAGCTTCTCCAGGTCAATCGTAGCCCCACCAACACACACTTTCCTCTACTACCCAACTCTTCCTGCCCCTCCCACCCCTGTGCTTGGATCTTTTTAAATTTTATTTTATTTTTTTTGACACAGCATCTCTGCTGCCCGGGCTGGCCTTGAACCCCTGGGCTCAAGCGATTCTCCATAGCCACAGAGCCCAGCAGTGCTTGGAATGCGAGCACTGGTGCAGCCCGTTGTCCTGGGAGCTGCCCCCTCAGAGAGAGGTGCTGTTTGGCCTTGGAGACTTGCCCTTTCCGCGCTCAGTTTCCTCCTGTGTGACTCCCCAGTGCACCATCAGGACAATGAAGGATGCAACTTCCCTTGGCTCTGCCCCCTCTGGAATTAGCTCTCACGGTCCCTAACTAATATATTCCACTTTGGGGCCTTGAATTTGCCCGTGCTTTCTAGCATGAGATGTGGGGAGGTCGGGGGCAGTGCTCTGAGTCTGTGTGTGTGCAGCAAGGGAAAGTCTCCAACCTGATCCAACTGCAAGCCTTCAGTCCTCTCGCTAGCATGGTAAGAAACTGCCACAGAATTGCGTTAGAACATACGGAGTCCAATACCAGGTACACGGCTGATACCCAATAAACACAGCTGCTATTAGCAGGCTTCACATTATGATATCTCTTTCAAGTGCCCCTGGCAAAAGGCCTGGTGGTTCATCAGGGATTCCCACTTTGCAGATGGGCAAACTGAGGTACTCCACACAGGAGTGAGCCAGAGGCCTGACCTGAACCCCAATAAGGCTCATGGCCCCAGCCCCAACAAGGGCACCCGTGAAGCCTGAGGGAGGCCCAAGGGCTCACCTTGACATCCTGCTCCAGACCACGGATGAGCTCCCCGTCCACCTGGCCAGTCTGGGCAGCGCGGAGGCTGCGGCGCTCGGCTTTGCGAAGCCGGTACTGCAGAATTCGGCAGGTCTTGCTGGCCTGGTCCAGCTGCTGCCGCAGCTCCTGCAGCTGGTACACATCCTCCTCCATGTAGACATCCCGCATCTCTAGCATCTCAGCCCGAAGCTCCTCAATCTCATCCTGTGGGGAAGAAAGAGTGGTCAGATTGCTGGGCCCCATGGCAGAGGCCAGGGGGCCTGAGCACCCGCCACACCCAGTGCTGAACCAGCACAGAGTGGCCTGGGTGTGGATGGCTGAGGACATCTACATCCACTTCCACAACTGTGACTGTCACCTTACACTGCAAATGGGACTTTGCAGATATCACTGAGTTAAGGGCCTTGCTAGAAGATAACGTGGGTTGATAAAAAAAGTGTATAAATGCTTAAAATGTATTTTTACTGTGAAAGACACACTGCTCTTAATCCCTTTTACTCAAACACACTCAACCCATCACTCTTGCCACTTTCTGAAATAGTTATGGAAATCCTCTTTCATGAGTATCTTTATGAGTTATAATTAAAAAACCATAGCAAATGCGGGGGCTGGGGATTTAGCTCAGCGGCACAGCGCCTGCCTGGCAATCACAAGGTCGTGAGTTCGATTCCCGGTACCGGAAAAAAAAGCAACAACAACAACAACAAAAAAACCAGAGAATGCTACTGCTTTGTCCCATCCAATGGAAAGGCAAGCCTGTAAAAACATTATGTTGTATGCTCATCCACTTCATTTACTGGATCTGGTGCATGTGACCTCTGGCTCTTCCCCAAAGTCAAAATGAGAAGTAAATGTTTTAAATGGATTCAGGACATAAAGGCAGCCATGACAACACAACTAAAGACACTCAGAAAGCCGGGCATGGTGGTGCACGCCTGTAATCCCAGCACTAGGAAGGCTGAGGCAGGAGGATCATTGCGAGTCTGAGACCTGCCTGGGCTACAAAGTGAGCTCAAGGCCAGCCTGAGCTGCAAAGCGAGACCCTATCACAGAAAGACAAAAAAATAAAAAATAAAAAAATGTAAAGACACTCAGGAAAGAGAACTTCCAGAAGTGCTTCAGAAAATGGCAAGAACAATGGGATAAATGTGTCTGAAGCAAGGGCAAATATTTTAAGGGGAGTTAATGGCAACATGCTCTTTACTATAATAGATTTTTAAAAATTTAAACACACCATGTTTTTCCATGTTGGAGTATGTGGGTGGGCCCAATGTAGTCAAAAGGATCCTTGTAAGAGAGAGGCAAGTGAGAGAAGGCCCCATGAGGGTGGAAGCAGAGGTTAGAGTGAAATGCTTCGCAGATGGAGGAAGGGCCGCGAGGGAAGGACTCCTCGGAGGCTGCCTCCAGAAGCGGAAAAGGCCAGGGAGAGCATCTTCCCTCAGAGCCTTCATAAGGAATGTAGTTGCCAGCCCCTTGATTCTCAGATCTCTAACGTCCAGAATTGGAAGGTAACCTGTAGGGAGGCCACTGTTAATCAATGGTTTAGATCTGAAATGCTGCCCAAAGGCCATGAACTAAAGATTTGGTCACCTTCCTATGGTACTACTGGAAGCTGGTAGAACCTTTAAGAGTGTGGGGCCCAGTGGAAGTCAGGTCACTGGAGGGTGTGCCCTCTGAGGGGAGGCTGGAACCCTGGCCTCTCTCTTCTCTTCCTAACCATCATGAGGTGAGCAGCCTCCTCCGCCACGATATCCTGCTTTGCCACAGGCTCCAAGTGATAGATCCAAGCAATGGATCAAATCTGTGAACTAAAGTAAATCTTTCCTCCTTTTAACTTTATTACCTCAGGTACTCTGTCACAGTGATGAATAGCTGACTGACAGTTATTTATTTATAAATTTGTGATTTGTTGTAGCAGCAGTAGGAAACAAATGCATACTCTACAACCATGAGTGCTGACTATGTACTAGGTCCTGTGCTAAGCACAGGGACAAGAAAGGATAGTTAGTGTCCAGCCCTTCTAAGTCTTCTGCCCCAAGATTCACTGGGAAGACACACAATAAATAAAATAATAAAAATTAAAAATCCAGATACTGTTAAACACCATGGAGGCAGAAATAAAATTAAAGACAGAGCAGTATGGGTAACACGACCGAGTGACAGGAGAAGTACTATGTTAGAGGACACGGCTCAGAGCCCACCTCCAAAGAGGGAACATGTAAGCAGAGGCACAAGGAAACAGCCGTGCAGAGAAAGCCAGGAAGGGGTTATTCTAGGCAAAGAGAACAGTGTGCACAACGGCTCAGAGGCAGGAAAGAGCTCCGTGTGTTGAGATACAGCAATGACACTGAGGCAGCTACGGGGTAATGTGAGGAAACCCGGCGGGACTTGCCACAGAGGCTTGAAGGGCGGAGTAGTCTGGGTTTGGGTTTTCGGCGTATGGCAGGGTGACCTCACTTCCTCTGCCACCAGCTCCCTGCTACTCCTTACTTCTCCTTTGTAGTGATTCACACATCTGCAATTGTTTGTCTCCCGGGACTGTGAAAGGCTGGACGGCCTCTCCACCTGCCCGGTGCCCCACAACCTGCACACAGCTTAGCAGCCCGCAGGCTCCCAACCAAGATTAACTGAACAAATGAATGAATGCTAGTTAGGTGAAAGACAAAAAGAGAGAAGAACCGAGGTGAAATGATCATCAGGCACTCCATGACAAGGAGGAGAAGAAATGTATGGTTATTATCTCCTAACGGGTCAAAACCGAGACACCAGAGAGAAGCATAATGCCTAGCCCAGTGTGGCTCACTGGCTTAAATAGGACTGTACATTAAAAATAGAAACTGTCTTATTAAGGGATGAGGACTCGCCAGAGAAAGCACCCAAGACTGGCACTGACAGAACCAGGGCATAGGGTGGGTGGTCCCAAACCAGACAGACTGCTCTGGAGAGGTCTAGAAAGCTAGAGGCCCCAACTGGTGGAGTCCCTTTCCCCAAAGAAAACAGGTGCCAGGTGTGATGGCTCATAAGTGTAACCCTAGCACTCTGGAGGCTGAGGCAGGAGGATAGCAAGGTTGAGGGTGATCTAGACTACATGTGGCCTTGTCTCAAACTCACAACAAAAGACAACCAAACCAAACCAAACCAAACCAAAACACAGGCCTCAGATTCCTTGCTCCTCATGCTTCCCCCACAAGGCAGGGATGTCCCCCACCCACTCCTGGTTGTCCTCACATCTCTTGCCCCAGCCTTAGTGGGCTGGAGGTGGGGGAGAAAACAAGAGTCAGGAGCCACCTTCACGCTTGTCCCCAGGATAAGGGCAGGTGTGCTTCCAGGGAGCCAGCTTGGAGGTACCCTTGGGAAGAGCAAAGGCAAGGCCTGGGGTGTAATAAGGGGGCAGGGTTCAGCGGTAGCCTGTAAGCCACTTCTTGGCAGCATGAAATCTGACTGAGCTCTGCACACTCATCTCCTGGGACCATTTCTCAGACAGATCTGCACCCAGGAGAGGAAGACGGAGGTGACAACTGCTTCCCTCAACCCCATGGACGCTGTCTCACTCCACTGTCAACAGAAGGGCTTAGTCCCTACTGGCCACCACTGGCTCTCTCCTGGGGGTGCACTCAGCAGTACCCCCAAGGTGGATGATTCTGCCTGTCAGCAGCAGAGGAAGAGGCACTGCACCAAGATCTCCCCGCACCATCCCCAAACACACAGATTCCCACCCCACACCTGGATGACCAGAAGTGGAAAAGGCAGGGGCACCATCACCACACATCAGCTGGACGAATGAGGAAGTGAGGGGCCGGGGCCAGGCCAGCTGCTGCAGCAAGGCAGCACGAAGGAAGCGGCACCCAGGAAGGACCAGCAGATGGCTATTTAGCCAACCTGGGGCCTGCAGCCCGCATTCAAATCCCAGCCAAGCCACTGACTGCTGCCTCCCTGCTTCCTCCTTCAGGCAGACTGACGGGGTCTGCTTAGGGGGAAGATGTGGTCGTCCAGTGGCCCTCAAGCTCAGAATGAGCCAAGGGGAAATGCAAGTAACACACAAGTCATGACGCTGGGCTATATTAACACCTCGCCCCTGGCTTCAACCACCAGTAGTACCTATACGACCATGATATCAGGCAGCTTGTACCGCCCAAGAGGACTTCCCTATGCCATCCAGAGGGACATACAAATTACGGCCTCACTGTGGATGTGCTAACAGATGTATGACATTTAGATTATGGAAGGTGACCTCTCTCATGTAGGATCCCATCCAGAGTACTGGAGTGATTTTGGGGAACTGGGTATTTCAGTAAATGACTTTCCCCTCCCCTCCCCTCCTCTCTTCTCTTTTCTTTTTTGTGTATGGTGCTGGCGATTGAACCCAGGGCCTCATGCATGCTAGGCAAGTGCTCTCCCACTGAGCTACATCACCAGCCCAGTAACTGATTTTTCTATTTATGAAAGTAAAACATGATCATAGAGACGGTTTAAAAAAAAACCAGAAAACACAAATCACACATAATTCCTGCATCTGGTCCTAAATCATAGTGGCTCTCAAAGTGTGGACCCTGAAGTAGCATCAGCATCACTGGGGAATTTACTAGAAATTCTCAGGCCCCAATGCAGTCCTACTGAATCAGAAACTCCAAGGGACTTCCCTTTTTTTCCCTAAAAGGGCAGAAGTCCCATCTCTCAGCACAAGTCCCCCACCCGGGGCCCGACACAGGCAGGGTCTCAACAAGCAGCTACTGAAGCAGTGAATGAACCAATGGTCTCTGCACATGAGCAGCTGTCTCCCTAAAGCCTGCCCTTCCTTCACCACAGTCCATTTCTGACAAACAGGCTGCTGCAGCCACGCCAGTCTTTCCCAGTGCTGGGGGTGCAGACCTCTGGGGAGGGCGGCCTGTCCCAGCTGCAGACAGAATGCGGGCCAGTCCCTCCTGGCACAGGCCCACATGAGGGGACAAGTTGACAAAAGCGAGCTTGTGGCCTGCACGGGTGTCTGCTGGGATGTGGGCAGCAGAAGCTGGTGACTGCAGGCCTGAGGTGGGGGCTGGGGGGTGGGCACTGCCGGCTTGAGGTGCCAGGCATGGGGAGCGTCCCGAGGGTGGGACTCTGTTCTTCAGCAGAGGCTCCAAGTCCACACTCAGCCCAGGAATCCTCTGCAGGCCTCATTCTATGGTCAGGCTTCACTCCAGGGAAGCTGTTGGGTGACAGATCCA